TTTTTTTTTTTCGATTATAATTACCTTCGGATGATGAATAACCGCAAATGCAAAACATTTCGCTGCCCAATGGGCATGGAACCATTGCATCCACATTTGTTTCACCATTACAATTGGATATGTGTTCCAAAATGGCTCGTGAACATGCCGATTGATATTTGCACTTGGCACACTTTGATACACTCCGAATGTGATTGCTTTCTTGGAAATCATCGCCACATTCTAAGCAAATGTGTCCATTTGGCATGAACATTGTTACATGATTCAAATTGGTGACGGTTATGATTGCTTCACGTGGCGTAAAGTTTTTGAACTGTAAATATTTAAGTAAAAAATGTTAAATATTTGGAGGTGCCGCAACAATGTCATTAAGAATCTACCTTCGGTTTAGAAATTGAAGTGGTGTCTTTGACAAGTTCACGTAATTGCCGTTGTATGTTTGTATGTGAATTATGCTCGTACAGACGATGTGCCTTAATTGAACCTTTGCTTATGAAACGCAACGTGCATTTCGTGCATGTGATTCCCTTTTCGTGGGTCATATGATCTTTCAAATGATCATAGTATTTTTGAATGTTCGATACCAACTGTTCGTTGTGAGCGACAGCGATGAAAATTTTCAAACAGTATGGACATTGAAGTGCACCCGATGCGGTGTGATCGGAATAGAAATGTTCGATGGTATATCGTTGTGATGAGCTCATATGATCACAGCAACCACATTTAAATGGCATTTCGGCGGTGACATGAAGACGCTCCATATGTTGGCTCAACAATGGTACCGATGGGAATACGGCCTGTTCAAATGATACAAATTCGGTAATAAGTAAATTGCGCGGATCTTGGCATCAATTTTTTTTATTATCAACTCACCCTGCAAATAATACATTTGAACGAACCGCGATTGTCTTTTGTTTGTATTGGATGCATTGACATCAAATGTTCGTTAAGCAATGCATCAGTGGCAAATGCCTTCAAACAATAACGACATACTTCTTCATTATTTTCGGTCGAATTTTCAATAGCAACATGACGTTTGATATGATCCATGAATTTTATATTGTTTGTGAAACATTCATGGCATTCCGGACACTGTAATTAAAAATTCAAAAACAAAATATAAACGTAATAATGGGACAATTTTTTACATATAACACACTCCCAAATAAATACTTCAAATGGAGATTTTCATATGTTTTGAAAAAGTCGTTAAATTTTCACTTACATTAGCTTCAAATTGGACAGCGACGCCCGAATCGTTATCGGTGCCAGTTTCATAAAGTCCATAATAAAATGATTCGAGGAAAATTTTTGGCTCCTTTTTGGGTGGCGGTGGTTCTTCACGTTTGGGTGGTGTCTTTACTTTATACGGTTTTGGTTCCTCTTTGACAACAACTTTTTGCTTCTTTGCAATAACGGGCGGTGGTGCTAGTTTTGGAGCAAAAATAAAGGCATTTTAATTACACAATATGTTCATTGAATAAATCAAATCTTTTCAAATCAAATGAAATAAAAACACCATTATATTGAGATAGATTCATTTGATTTGAATTGATTGGAGTTTGCGGATTCATTTCATTTAATTTTTAATTTAAATCAAATCTTGTATTCGAAACTGTAAATGATAAAAATCAGTGCTTGTTTTTTTTTTACAATTAAGCCAAAGAAGACGGCAATGAGTGATTGTGACCAAATAATCAAGTCATTAATAAAATACTAACATGGTTCTTTGCGTTTGTTTCGATTTGGCGGTCGACCGACTGGATTTGGAATTGAATTTGATGTTCCCGCTGTGAAAAAGTCAGCTCGTAATGCTTTGGGTGGTGCTCTAACTGATAGATGTGCCCAGTCTCGGAATGGATTGGCGGCGACCTAATTGATTAAAAAACATCTTCAAATAAGTATAATTCTAAAATAAGAAACATAATATATTTCGATTAACCTTCGATAAACGTCCCACTAAGTTTTCGGCACCCTCAAATCTAGTTTGTTCAGCAATATGTGAAACAATATGATCAAATGTTTTGCCCGGCGTGGTTCCATACCATTCACGCCATACCAATTCATCAAGAAATTGTTGAATGATTTGACGCGACAATAATGACAATGTATTCTGGAACATACGTGGCACAACTGTCCTCAAATAGTCCATAATATTTGAATTGGAATATTTTCCATCGGTTGATGTTGTCTGATTAATAAATTTATAACCCATTGCAATGAGAGTTCCTTTATCAACCGTTAAATCAGTGGCAATTGTACTAGTTTTATTGACCCATGTCGAAAGTGGTTCAAGAATTTTTGCAAAACGTTTTTTATAATTCTTTTCACCATCGGCCAACGGTTCGACTGCACGCAAACGAACAATTTTCGAAACTGGATCAAGCACACCGAGCACTTCGACTTTTACTTGTTTCTGTTGACCACCCTGACTAGTTGTGCCCAATGAAATGACGCCAACCTCAATTTTCTTTCCCGGACCACCGAGTAAAGTCATGTGCTGGTGTAAAGCCACCGTACAAACGGCACGCAACCATGTGAACAAACCTTTCACATATAAATTATCGACTTTCACCCATTGCACGACATTTTGCACATTTGTTTGGCATGACCAATGATAAATTAGTTTGAGCAGCACCGATGGTGGATGCTGAGCACCTTCAAACAACGATCCACTGAATACGGACACAAAACGTGATGGGCAACAATCACTAATCCATACATATCCACCAGAGAATGGAAATTTCGATGCATCAGAATACATGCCTGAAATAAAAATGTTTATTTACATAAATTTGGTTCGAATGAGAATAACAAATTCATTATTTGAAAACTAAAAACTAATTTCAATGATCAATACGCACCTAATTTAAGTGATACTTTTGGATGAAGTTGACATGTTTGTTCGGAACGTACAAGACCTTGTTGAATAAGCCATTCGGTATATTTCGTTGCGCTATGCATGAGCACACTTTTTACTTTAGCATCAAGTGCGGGTCGATCATTGATATTGACTTCTTTGATTTTAAGCGTCGGCCGTGCCACAACGACCAACGAAGGGAATGTTTTTCCTTGCAACTTATTGAATGTGACTTCACGTGAATCGGCCGCCAATTTAGATGCGACCGGTTCATCTTTTGTTAGATCAACGATATCCTTCTTTTTCGCTTCACCAATAGTCAAACCACCAACGGCTGTACCTTCTGATGGACGATTTGTTACTTTCTCTGGTACAGGTGTTGCCGTTTTACCTCTTGTTATCACTTTTGGTGTATCTTTTACTTTGCTATACGTTGCAATTGTATTCTTTTTCGCTGCCATTCGTTTGCTTAACGGCAAATATTCTTCATCCTCATCGTCATCAATGACTTCAATCAATTTTGCATTGTCCCGTTTACGTATTGCTTCACGTTCTCGATCGGCTCGAATGCGTTTCTCTTCGGCCAATTGACGTGCTTTATTCTCTTTTCGCACCACAGCAACCGGCTTCGATATATTTTCTAAACCGGTAACAGCACCAGCCACTTGATATGCACCAAATATTTCACCCAAATACAAATTTTCAGCACCGGACGACACAACCATTTCATTAAGCTTTGCCTTGATGTCGTTATGCTCTTTTTCCGCTTGTTCGTATGCAGCCAATTGGGCCGGACTGAGCTCTTCATCCCAACACTGTAGCTTCAGTGTCATATCGGCAGGTGCTATGTCACCGTATGACAAATTTATCAATTTACTTCGTGGCATTTTTAGTCTTACACGTTCTCAAGAAATGTGAACAATTCAATTGGGATTTTGTTTATATTGTTAAAGAAAATTAGAACAAAGCGTCACTATTCAATTCAAGACGCACTTTATTTGTTTTGCTCAGTTTGATTTTCTCACACCAACACATTTAAAGGTTAAAGTTAGCCGGTTTTCAACCGATTTCAGCGAAATATTTCGATCCGATTCACAATTATATATTCAAATTTTATGTAAGATAAATTGCAAACACAATTTTATTTGAACTGCAAGAAAAACACCGTAGAATAAATCACTAAATGTATCCTTTGCAATTTTATATTGATGACAATAATGGCGAACTTCAAATGATTGAAATTACAAATATCAATACAATACGTTAGAGGGCACTGGTGTCCGTGGCTTTCGGGAAGATTGAGTGGAACGCACTCTACATTTTTTTGACTTGCATTTAAACAAATGAATTTTGAAATAAGTAGATAAATTGAATAATATTTATTTTTTATTCTTTTTCAACTTTTTATCTTTAATTTTCTTAATTTTATTTGGATTATTTTGTACTTTATGTACGGTCAATTCCCTATACAATGCCAATGGAGTTTTCTTGTGTTTTTTCGATTTATGAAAATCTTTTCCATGGCTACGACTTGCCTGATTGTTGCTCTCATACGAATCCAATGAAACGAAATCGGATTTGATCTTATTGAGCGATTCGAGTTCAAGTGCAATCGGTTTAAGATTAATTGCACTCTTTGGAATAAATGCCCGTTTATTCTCTTGGCAATCATCTTTAAATAAATAAAATCGATTGACTTCAACTATTTCTTCTCGTTTCGGTACTTTCTCCACACTTGCATCCGTTTCGTCTACATCCATTGCTTTGCGTTGGTCAAAATGTGCTTGAATTATCGTCGGCACCGCAAAATGATCGCCAATTAAACTTTTTGTCCATTGATCGAGTTCAGTGAATTCTGACCAGTTGTCAATCACAAATGCATAGCACGAAAAATTCAACAATGGTCGTATTAAAGTCTCTAAATTCGGTACACATAGAATTCGTATGTCTTCATTGCAGGCAAGTGCTTGTAAAATGATTTGATTGGCCACATATCTTGGTTTCAGATCGGCCGATAATACAAATAATTTGATTTGACCGAATTTAAGTTTTCTAATTGATGCTTGGAGACCGTAATGAATGGATCGAGAACTGAAAAGAGTGCAACAAGTGAAAATAAACAAACAAACAAATCGAAATTTAAATGGAAAATATTCTCACCTTGAACTTGTTTTCTTCTCGGCAAACCATTGTGGATTTCGTATTTGAGCTTTCTGCAGTAAATCATGCAACCGTTGCGATTGTTCATCGTTGAGTTGTGGCCTATAATGCCATCAAATATGAGAATTACTATTTAGTCGATCTGAAAAGATAATTTTAACTTACCAGTATCGTGGAAATGTTTGTGCCAACGCATATCTGAATGTTTTCTTCGTTTTCTTTTTTGTCTTCGCTGACAATGTGTGACATTTTTGTTTTGCCGACAATTCGATGGATTTTGTTGCCATTTCACAAAAAAAAACTGTTCCACTTGCAATAATAATGTATAAAAAACAAATGTGCTTCGGTGATTGACACCGTTCGGTGTGTTGCTTAAAACGTCATTGAGACGATGACAGTACATCGGGTACGTTCATAGTTTGTAAGAAATAAATACGTTGTTGAACCATTGTTCAAACGAATCGAAATAACTAAATAATCGTATTTAAATCCTATTCAACCAATTGCCGTCAAAACCTTTTTTACTTCACTCCAACATTATGCGGGATTTAAATATCGTTTTCTTTCTCTTTCTCTCTCTTTTTCGTCTTCAAACATCATTTGTTATATTGTTCACCTTTTGTCGCATGGTATTTTTTATCCATTCTATTGTATCTTCAGATGAAGCGCTGAAATTACAACTGACAGATGTTTCTCACCCAAAATACACACATTGCCACCCATCAATCGAATTTTGATATAAACAAAACACAAAGAAAGATGTAAATGTCATAGAACTTTTATTAGATTTGAAGATCGAGAGAGAGATTGAGAGAGAGAGAAAAAAATAGAATATGAATCAATGATCTAACAATTTTGGTGTGTGAAAACATATTTTTGGGAGTTAAATCAAATGAATTCAGATTTTAGTTGAGCTCAAATTCAAAAAGATGCCAGCCAATTGGACGAATTTCAACTTTTACTAATACGGTAAATGTTAACTCTTTGACCTCGTTCATATAAAATTGAAATTCAATCAGCCATTTCCCGGGCACAACTCGTGGCAATTTTAAACTTCTTCGAAACTGGAATCTTCGCATATAAATCGCACCCTGCGGATGAAATGAAAAAAGAGTATATTTAACAAAAAAAATGAAAAAAAGCATTATTGAAATGAAGAAGAATTTTTGTTTTACCGAAAACGGACACGGTCGATTGAAATTACTTTTTTCGATCATGTCGGGCAGAAAGATGGATATGAATAGCTTTGAAAATGGTCCGCCAGAATATTCACACACATCGATGGTTGTATTTTTGAGAAAGACTGCTTTGTATTCGCCATGGGTCCAGTGATATGTACTGACACGTGCCTAGCATTTATTATGTGAAACCACTTTTTTATTAAAATCTCAACAACATATTCGTTTTCATAAAATATGTATATATTTAGAGCCAAAGGGGTCTTAATAAGAGGACACAATACCAAAACAAAATTACTTTCAATTTTCAGAATATCTCTCGTTCTTTTTTTTTAATTATCTCGAATAAACGAAAATAAAGAATGAATAAAAAATGGAAATGAATGTCTGTTTACCATCATGTGTGGAATGCTGAGTCCATCGGGAAATGCACTTTCGAATGACCAATACTGTGTGTTATTCTCCTTAATTTCAAGTTTGCATGTATAATTAAATTGAAACGGTGTATTTGTTGTACATTCTAAACTTTCGCCAATCACTTCATAGTTTTCAAAAACAAAATTATATGCGCAAAAAAGAATCGTTACAATTAGAGCAAGAATGACGAGCACCCATCGCGAGATCTTTCGAATACGTCGCAGTTTCGGACTCAATACTTTTGTCGAATATTTAAGCGATCGAAAGTGTTTTTTCAGATCCTCTGTACAAATGGATGCTGTCTTCTTCTCCATGTTTGAACACCAACTGACTTCACGTTGCAAAAATCGGTCATACGTAATTTAAAAAAATCACCGCCAATTGCGATCGTATCTTATCTGTAATTTCTCGACATCAGTGATCCATACAAATAATTTAATGACTAATGATGATGTTAATAATTGTGATTACATTTTTTTTAATTACAAATTGTCTCACCGAATCATAGTACGATGTTAATCAATGTGTAACACGACGATGTATAGCAAAGGTCGATACAAATGCTGCACACACGGAAATAATGTATAGATTATTGATAGAAATGATTTTTTTTCTTAAATCTATACAAAAGTTTAGATATCTCAACAAAAATTTATTTTTTATTAAAAAAATATTTTCTCAATTTCAATAAATATTGCGATACATATTTATCAACGAGCGCCAAAATACATCATTTAATACAGCCTTTTCTCTTCACACGAAAGAACAACAACAATTACATGGCTACACTCGAACGGCGACTATAGAG